CATCATACACATGTTATTGCCCCTCTCACGCTATCAAGATTCATGAATAGTGAACGCCTGAAGGTCATCAGTCTGCCCGCAGATTCACTCTTAAATAAACTAGCTTGCCGCTTTTATATACGATTGAAGGAAAGACAAGTCAAGTCTGGACCTTCGCACACAGCTATTGTTATGAGCAGTGTACGGACGTACAGAAGCGGCTTTTTATCTTATATTTGAAAAGCACAAAGACATCAAAAATAAGCCTTGAATATTTTGAAAATGTTTGATACGTATAACAGCTATACGAAAGTTGAACTTAAATAAAAGCCACGGACCAATGCAATTAATAATTAAAAATTTAGGGTGTAAGCGAATCGGCGGTTCTGAATTCGGGGCCGCGCACCCGGAAGAGGAGCAGGACATGCAGACTCAAAAAAGAGAAATGAAACTGAAGGAATTGGAATTGGAAATGAAGCCACTGAGGTACCAAACCAGGGGGCGTGCGGGGCAATGAATAATGGATGCCAAGTGGTAAGGGAGGTGGGAATAGACAGCAACTGCTTTTGAATGGTCAACTGCTCCAGGAAGCCTGGTAACCATAACCGTCTCCGAATCCGGCCTGGAGGTTGGCATCATCAAATGAAAAAGCATCATCTCGCTTTCCGTCTCGAAGTTGCATGGTCGAACCGTCAATCGCGGGGGCAACTGAGTACGAGTGACCATTATTGTGGCTACTGTTGCTGTTCATGGCGTAGGAAAGTTGGGGTGGTTGGGAAGCCGATGCAACTCCTGAACCAAGGACCTCGTTCAGGCGATCAAAGATCTTCGTGGCCAAAAAAGCCCGTACAGGATCGTTAGGCTCAGTCCGCACTAAATCCAAGATCATATGAGATAGCCCTGACAATTTCTGGCAGAATTCCCTCAACCCAGGGATTCGGTATAACCAAATATGCACCGCGGTCTCGAATGTGGTTTCAGGATTGGGATTGTCGAAGGAGTACGCGGGGTCGATTAGGAGCACTTCGTCGGTATTGAGCATCATTCTCAATTTGTTCCAGTAATTACCGTAACGAATGTAATTGCTGCACCTGCTTGACAGCTCCTCGAAACTATAGTTCATTGCCTTCTGATGTTGCTCTTGTTGTAGCCTAGTTACTATGGCGGTTATGACGGAGTTTTCTAGCGAGTGATTATATGGCAGTAGTGGCGAAGAGGGGTTTTGCTTTAGCCGTTCACTTTCGGCAAAGACTTCGATATACATTCGGCGCCTTCCAAGAGGAGGGCCAAAAAGATTCGGGACACATGCGTGCGATTGAAACATTGCGGCAAATGGGTCCGACCCAAATTCAGCAGAGGGGCAACTCAAGGTCTGCCAATTAATGTTTTTGAGGTACAGGAATAGCCCAACGAAAGGAGACTGACGGGATTCAGTTTCTGTCAGCGAACCAATTACTAGCGGTGGCGATGGTCGTGTCAATAGCTGTCGGGGTGGACCATGCTGGTAGTTTCCAAGTCTGCTCTCCGCAGCACGGCCGACCGTTGGGGCAGATTCAAGATCTTTTTGCGATGACCTTCGCGCCATCATGTTCTCCGAACATTCATATCCATAGTTTTTACAGCGGTCGCATTTTGGCCCTGGCCAGGGCCGAACTTCGGGTGAGCACTTGGTCTGCATCAGTGATGATGGAAATCCAGTAGGCACTGTCGTACGCATTACTCACCCTTTTGTGGTCCCTGCGGCAACGCTGACACTTCGGGACACCTTCTGAAGGCATATGTTCTGTTGCGATAGCTTCGCTATAGAGGGGTTGCCAAGATGGAGAGATTCGTACGAGTGTGTGTAAGCTCAACGGTCTCGGGGTTGAGGTATATCTCGCAGATTAAGTAGACAAGAATTGCGGACAGATTTAGTGACATGGAGGGAATAAAAATCAAAAGCCAGGAAATGCCGAAGACTAAGTTCCTACTTATATTTATTAGTTTCGATGGGTATTTGGGGCATATACTCGACCCCTCAGGCAGAGAGGCAAATGAGCCGTGCACATCGATAACCCATAACTTTCAAATTGCATTGGCCAGTTTTGTTAATAGCGGGGAAGCGGGAACGGCGCCTGGAGAATGGCCTAATAGTATCTCTTGTTGGGTAAGGCTGATATGCCCAGAAGTCGATGTGGCGTTACATGGGGATTCCTGGGTGGTCAATTATAGAGTAAACCGCGTGCTAACTTGTCTTCCTTGCTTCTGTCGTCGGTGAGCAACTCTCGGAACCTGAAATAATTTTTTTGTGTGCAATCCTGTCACCAAAAGTATCATGGGATGTACCAACGATATTTGGTATACATGGATGATTCCTCAAAAGGAAATAGATCAGTATGGCCCAAGGATGATAAGGTCAATTCTATTGGTATTCCACAGCAGCCGAAAAGTATGGAACCAGAGACTTTCAGATAGCGCTGCAAGTTCAGGGTTCGATTAATAGCTGGAGGGTACAACAGGTTCACGATCATTACATGCATTATACGTACGCCTCGCTATGTGGAACCGCGAGCCCGGATATTCCTGCTCGAGAAACAGTCCAGTGTGAGGAGACTTCGGTTCTTCAAGACTTGTCAGTATAGTCTTTGAATGCCGCCAAATCTCCCGTATGGGTCCAGATCCACACATTGAAGATTTCCGGTCCTAGGCCATCGCACTCTGGAAGATTGAGGCCACGAAATTGCAGCCTGATAATTCCCCCATATTTGACTGTAGCATCTTAATCAGCCGTCGTGGACACACTAACTTGGGTGTGGTGCGTGCAGTTAACTTGAATCATTGGGCATCAAATTCAAAACTGGATTCGTGGATGTTTCCCAGTTTGTGCAGTAAGGACACTCCAAAGTGAAGAACGCAGATTTGAGGAACTAAGGGATGGATGCTTTAGCCAGTCCCTGTTGTTCCTTAAAAAAGATATTTATTGTTGGGCTGTGCAATACCCATGAATTCTTTGAACTGGTAATCAAAATGCACTTTCCACCCACATCATAGCAATTCTTAGATCGGCACCTTCCACTTTGTTTATAAGCGTAACTAGCCATTGTGTCTTCATGTAACTGAATCATTCAATATTGCATGGCAAGCCTTTCGAGAAGAAGCTGGATTGCAGGTAACTTGTAGAACAATTGCGATTGCGAAGAGATATCGGACTGGAAGAAGCATTCAACGGGGCTACCACCAAAGCCATTGCTCCTAAGAACCCACTGCTTACAGCCTACCTGCTGATCACTCACGCTGCTTGAGCATTGGTGACCGAGGGACCGGTATCGTTGGCGGTAGGTTAGCGGCTATGCAAAGAAACTAACGGTGACAACAACGATTCTTGGACATGTAAATTATGACATCCCTAACTTACACATGCCGAGGATTTATGGGTTAGCAATAAGGTGTAATTTAGTAACTGTTGGCTTTTGTTACAGGGAGACGAGCCAGCTCTCCCTCAAACAAAGTCAAATGTTTCAGTAACAAGGCGATAAAGAAATTCTCAACCTTCTGACAAACCCAGGAGCTGCAAATAATTTAATATTCACAAGGAAATGTAACAACCGGCACCTTGGGCGCTGTGTATAGTAACTTCAACGGTGAGAATGGTATCACCTCAAACTGGAAGAAATGAAGATAAAGTTGCGGTTGAGAGAAAAACATTACCACGTGATAAATCAATTAGTCAGTAACGACGACGTCATCCAATGGAAGCATCGATTTGTGACCAACATCAACAAAGCCGAATTTCTGGAGAATGAAAAGCGCGCGGTGATTGTGGGCCGTGGCACTCTCATTAACATGCGCCATTCATCTGATCTACGCCATTTCCTCTCCTCGGAATACATTTGATTTGGTGGTATCATCAAACAATCATGTCGTCTACAAATGCTGTACGTCTAAATGGGTCTGCAAGAAAATCATCCTCCGCCGGGCCCACTTCATCGCGACCGTTATTCCCGCCTCCGCCTCCCTTATCACTCGCTCTTTATCCGCTGACTCTTCTATTGGGCTCTTTGTTCTCGTTAATATCCCCAACCGCAAGACCCCCTGCCAACACATCCTCATCACCGGGCGTCACGCCAAATTCGGATACAAGCCCCGTCAATTACTTCGCGCGCAAGGGGAATATCTTCAATGTATATTTCGTTAAGGTTGGCTGGCTTTGGACTACGCTGGGCCTTCTTATCTCTGCTCTTAACGCAACCTGCATTTAACAACAGACTTTTACCTCCTGCTGCTCGACTGAAAAGGGTTGGACAAGCCATCTGTCGCTATATTCTTGTGACAACAGCCTGGTTACTGACAACGCAATGGTTTTTCGGCCCCGGCATCATCGACCGTAGTTTCATTGCTACTGGCGGTAAATGCGAATCGTCTATCGAACCAGGATCGGGGGGGTCAATATCTGAGTTAGCGGTGATATTGACAGCTACAGCTTGCAAAGCATCTGGAGGCGCTTGGACGGGTGGGCATGATGTGAGCGGACACGTATTCATGCTTGTTCTTACAAGTGCTTTCTTGCTCCTTGAATTGCAAGGAGCCTCGTCAGTGGAAAGCGAAATGGAAGAACCAAAGGATAGGAATCAATATTTTGTGCAAATGAAATTAGTTGAGAAATGGAGCCGAAATTTTACATTGGCTGTTGGCGGCTTGAGCTGGTGGATGCTGCTCATGACAGCAATATGGTTTCATACTTGGTTAGAGAAAGTAAGACTAACAAATATCCCATTGAACCTTCGAATTTTGGATATTGAGCTTTCGGATAGCTAACAACTTTAACTAAGGTGACGGGCCTGACACTCGCTCTTGGGGTAGTGTATACCATATATTTCCTTCCCCGAACACTTACCCCTTGGAGGAATATTGTTGGTATACCGGGTGGATAAGAAGCAAGATGCTAGTGGGAGGATAATTGGTTGATATGTATAGATAACATCGTTTTGATTTTGTGGGGTTCATAGACATTGCTGCATATTGCCATTTGCAAGAGCCAAAGATCTCTTTGGTATTCACGTCGTCGTTATTGAAATAACTATAGGTTTTATCAAAGTACTTTTATCAGAGGGTGCATGTAGAGCTTTCGTTTTCCCCAACGACGTTGATCAGAATTGATCAATAGGCTCAGTCCCCAGATACCGAGACTTGAAAGCTATATGCGAAAGTCCTCACGTTAATTTTGCTTGCTGGAGTTGAAGTACAGGATGATGACACTGTTGTCGCTTAAAAGGAAAAACAACTTACCCCCTGGTATTAACGCGGTTGAATACATAACGTTGGTGATAGGCTTTAGGTCTTCTGGGGTCAAAGGCGATGATATATACTTCTGCCACTGGGTGACTATCTCCTGAGACCGATTATTCAATCCTTCGTCGTTGCTGGCCTCTCGGCATGTCAGGCAGGCTATGCCGAGGCAAATTCCAAACTCCCTGTATGCATTACGAAACTGCAAATCCGTCTCCAGGAAATGGTCCTCCTCGAATAGATGATCTATGCTCCAAGACAGATATAGTTAGTTTAATCAAATTCAGCCTCTTATTTTAGGATCCTCATTCAAGGGGTGTGCAATCCCCAACAATTGGTGTTTAGGTGAGAATTACGGAGCTGATAAACGCATTTGTCTGCCAGACGACGCGCCCAGTTTTCCCGATCAGCGAACCAGTGAGCCGTCCAGAGCGTCATTCCCAGATCGAGGGGGTCTCTTGTTACATAAAAGTCCCCTTTGCAAGCCATTACTTTCTTGTAATCGGCAATTTCTTCCTTGAGAATTTCCCCGTCGCCATACTGCAAAGCGGGATGCCTGCAAGAGGCGGAAAACCACGTACCCGTCAATGGGGTCTAGATGCCCTTCACTGGCAACAGCGGACGTGACAAATCCATGGCAATCTTCCATACCATGTGTGGTTTTTCCGAGTACGGTTGAGGAAGAGTGCGGATGGATAGCCTTTGCGAGTGAAATAGCCTGTCCTGTTATATGTCGGATCCCCTGTCGCAATCGACATTCGGTTGAGAGCAAACATCCACATAGTGAGGTAGTGAAAATATTGCCCATCACCATCAGGCCCTGTTTCCTCTTCTTTTCCGATCCGCAAACCACCTTTGAGAGGTTCTTCATCTGTCGCGTGGGGGAGTCGAGAAAGACCATCACGCGTTCGACCCAAGACGTCGTGGACGGTAGCGATAAGGCGCTGAGCAAAGATCAAGTAATTGCCAGCGGTAGCCTTGCTATCTCCCCCCAGTGACAGCTCTTTATAAAGGGTAAGAAAATTTAAAACACCAAAGGCGTCTGTCCAGAGATATCGGCCTCTATGACCCCCTGATTTCGGCGGCGGTCTCCACTTTGTCGCGTCAGGAACGGTGGAGAAGTTTCCGTACACGCTTTCCATCGAAGCTAGGAACGTTTGGAGGAGCGACATCGTCAATGAAGAAACAAGAGCTTCTGTGTTTCTTCTGATAGACCCTGTTTATAATGCCCACGTTTAAGGTTGTATTTACCGTCCGTATAGAAAGTTGTGGTTGCGGAAACTTCCATCTCTGGAATTTACATGTGGTTTCGCTGATGAGGTCATGATTGCCTCATACCCGTGGACCCTGTTTGACGTAGGAAGGATATAGTCATCGTTTGAGGAGGAAATGCAGCGGGAGACAATCAATTATCTTAAAATATTTGTCACTTGAATATGCTTATGGCAGCTACTATTTGAGTTATTGCTTTGAAAATATATGTTCCCGTCATGGCTTCCCAGCTTTCAATGCTCTCATTGCGCATGAAGTCTGCCGCAAAGGTTCTACCGCCAATTATTAACCCGTCTTTTGGATCCAATTTTGATCAGTTTGGGGATTGCAAAGTTGTTCTAATAGGTGACGGCAGTCATGGTACTTCCGAGTTCTACCAGGCTCGTGCAGAGATTACCAAGCATCTTATTGAACATCACGGCTTTGACACAGTAGCTGTGGAAGCCGACTGGCCCGATGCAGAATCGGTAGATCGGTATGTGAGACTGCGGCCCGGTGTTAAATCAAAATTGGATCCCTCCCCAGAGCCGGCGTTCAGGCGCTTTCCGACGTGGATGTGGCGTAACAAGGAAATGCAAGAGTTTGTACATTGGATGAGAGATCATAACGCACACCTCCCCAAAGAGAGGCGAGCTGGCTTTTATGGCCTGGATTTATACAGTATGGGTTTATCCATCCAAGCCATAATCAAATATCTCAGTCGGGTCGATCCGCCTATGGCCAAACTTGCGCGTCAGAGATACGGTTGTCTACAACCGTGGGTCGACGATCCATCACAGTATGGTCTTGCCACTCTGACTAATCCACGCATGGAATCTTGCGAGAAGAATGTTATCCAAATGCTCCGTGACCTCCTCAATAAACGGCTGGAGTATTCCGCAAACGAACATAATGGCGAGGAATTCCACAGCTCCGAGCAGAACGCCTACCTAGTTGCTGATGCTGAGGCATACTATAAAGCCATGTACAGCAGATCAGCAGATTCTTGGTCTCTCAGAGACTCTCATATGTTCGAGACACTACGTCGGTTGCTTAATGTCAAGTCGGAGTCCTCCAAAGCGGTGGTTTGGGCACATAATAGCCATATTGGCGATGCTAGATATACAAGCATGGGTACTCGGCGTGGAGAGCTCAATATTGGCCAGTTATGCCGGGAGAATCTGGGGCAAGAAAATGTTGCTCTTGTGGGTTGCTTCACGCATACGGGCACTGTTGCTGCCGCCCATGATTGGGACGAGGATGTCCAAGTGATGAAAGTAAATCCATCTCGACCTGATAGTTGGGAGTATGTGGCGCATGAAAGTGGCATCCCAAGTTTTCTATTGGACCTTCGACCTAATCAAGCAGACCCTGAGCTCCGACGAGCTTTGGCTCAGGAACGAAAAGAAAGATTTATCGGGGTTGTATATCGACCTCAAACCGAAATAATGTCTCATTATTCCGCAGCTTCTCTGTCGCTCCAATTCGACGCTATGGTTTGGTTTGACGAAACTCACGCAGTTACGCCTTTTGAGATCGCACAACCGCACACGGCTCTTGGTGTGGATGAAACGTACCCATTCGGCCTATAAATCAATGCGCCCTTCGCATTTAATCTTTCTGTTCTTTTAGTAAAAGCACCTGCCTGTACGTAACTAGTTCGCTGTTTGTTTCTCATCATCGGATTCTATCTCATTTGGGTCCCGAGTTATTCAACTGTAGAACACGGAATCTTCTTGACATTTCGGCTTTTCTTCCAACCACTTCACATGTCGATGATCGTAGTGTCTCTTCGTTTCAGAAGGTTCTGGGAAATTCACCTGTGAAAGCTGGCGCTGTCGTTGCCTTCAGCAGTTATGAAGTCAACTTTACCCGATTAGGAAAAGCGGTTTGTTTGTTTACCTGCCTATCGGAGCTCTCCAGAAATCCAACCTGGAACATTTCCGCAACGTGCACATCCCACCAACACCAATCCCCAACACGTCTTGCCACCTCATGTCTGTCTATATACTCTGCTCGACTTCCTCAAAAAGTGGGCATCTTTCGTGGTAGTATTTATCCCCCAGAATTCAAGCAATTCATGCCAACATGGCAACTCCGGTACGGCGGTCGGCCCGTCTGAGATCTACAACTCCAGCGAGCGAGGTGAGTTGGAAACTTGACACAGATTTATTGATAGTTGTCTTTTACAGCGTATTTGAACGTGGAGCTAATATCTGGATATTGTTTTCCAGGCCCAAAAGCAAGCTCCGAAGCCTTCTACCAAACTCATCTCGGTTGCAGAACGCGAGGAAAGCCAGGACGTGTGTTCCCCTCAAAATAGCCGGACTCTTCTCGCAACGCCAGTTACGGGATCTCATACCAATCCATCTCTTATGAAAACTCCAAAAACGGCAGGAGCATTAAAACCAAGCCTGGCAGAGATGCATCCTAGTAAGGTACACCAAAACACCTCAAAAAAGCCTGACTCAGGAGCTCGTTTGGGTTTTAAACCCCTCCCGATGGATTCTCCCTGCCATCCGCGAAACCCGTCAATCCCAACTCCGACAAAATCCAGATTGCCAGCGGCAGATCAGCACAATTCTCCCAGCTTTAGCATGCTGTTCTCATGTGAGGATTCGCAGCTTAGCGAAGAAGCCAAGAAGCTCATGGAGAATATTCGCGAAGACGCGTCCAGGATTAAGGCGCAGATGATAATTGAACAACACTCACAGGAAGGCAAAAATACTGAGACTGAGCCAACGCTTGAGGTTAGAAAGATTGCGAAAGCAAGAGGGAAAGCAGGCCGGTTCAGCAATGCTCACATGGCAGAATTCAGAAAGATGGATTCGATTACAGGACACCCTTCATTATTCAGGGCGCGCCAGGACAAGATTCATCCCTCACCAGTCAAATCATCTCTCAAGAGAACCAGCTCCAAAGCTTGCCTTGATGAGACATCTTCTCCTGAGAAATCGGGGACTGTCTTCACGTCTCCTGGAAAGACAATGTCAAATAATCCAGTCAAGCGTTCGAAGTCTTCTGGCGTCGCCAGCACACCGGCTCGTGTGCCTTTACCCAAAGCCTCACTTGAACCCAAACCAGGACAACATGGTCCGCGGTTTTTAATTACCCCTAAGAAGCCAATGATTGCCCGGGCGTCAAGTGCGAAGCAAATCAACACTACCAAAATTCCGAGCTTTCCCCGCTCCCCGTCAACCAAGTCAATTGTCACCCCACGAACTCCTCAAACAGAGTTTAATCCCAAATTGAAAACCGGACTACCAAGTCTTACCAACCTGAAATCAATTCTCAGGCAACGTCAACCCCTTTTCTCCACCGACCCTGTTAAGATTGCTGCAGGTACCCATGTTGCGCCGCCCAGTAAGATTTTTGACATACAGCTAGAGGGCTCCACTGCAAAAAAACATGTCGATTTTTCCGCCAGCACGAAACTCCGACATGCCTTCTCAGATACTTCTCCAACTCCTTCCAAAATTTTAGCTAGGGAGCCATCAGAATCAGGTGTAATTTCCTATCCCACTCTTCCACTAACAACACCCCCGAAAGCCAGTAAAGTTTCAAATATTACTTCTGAAAACAAAAGAAGCCCTACAATCAGAGCAGTGAGGACATCTGAAGTTCAATATCATTGCCCGTCCCTTCCAAACCACACAATCATTCCCCACGGTATTATAAACAAAAAAAGGCGACGCGATGAAAACGATGACGAGAATATTGAAAACAAATTTTTGGAGAGCTCGAAGGAAGATGAGCGGAGTCAAAAGAGGCTGAAGCCTAACCCTACTGTCGTCACAAACGTTCATACACCAAGCCCGGTCAAGAACAGTCCAATGCGACGCGTGGCCCAGGGAACCGGATCCCACAGTCGATTAACTCAGAAAAATAGAGGCGTCTTAACCATGAGCCGCCTGAATATGCTTTCGAAACCGAAAGCAAGACGCTAGTTTTCACACATTAATTGAAACAGCTTCTTCCACTTTCCTTTGATTCCCAGCATTCTCTAATAAGTAAAATAACCAGAAACCTTCTTGTGGGCACCAATCTGTTTCATTTTGCATCTTTCTCTGTTCGTTTATGGCGTTCTTGGCACTGAGGATGGGATTCAGATTCAGATAGCCGTTGGGTTTTGATTTTTGATTTTTGATTTTTGATTTTTTTTTTTTTTTTTTTTTTTTTTTTTTTTCATCTTTTCCATTCTTCCTTCCTTTGTGGAGTATCTGGGTTAAGATTTTGTTGGTTCGGGTGGGTGGGTAGGGATGGGTGTTTATTTATAAGATCGCGTCCGCAAGGGTTTGCCTCCTGTTTCATTTTTTTTTTCATTTTTAAATTTTATGTTATTTCATACCGCTCGCAAGTTGCGGAGGATTAGATCTTTGGGCCCTTTATCGCCACCTTTTGGCTTGCTATTCTGTCTATCTGTCAGTCGAATCATGAAGGAGTATATTCTTTTGCTTCAATTCACAGGAAGTCCGAAATTTCACACTGATGCTTTTTAAAAAGTACAAGAATAAATTTCCAATTTTATGTTTTAATTTGGGGCTGTCTTCTGTGTCCTCCTGTTGAAGTTTTCCTTTTGAAGTTGATGCTCTCCGTTCCTGGTTTCTACTCCTTATTTTTTATTTCTCTTCTGTCATTGTCCATGTTCTTTTTGTTGTGGAGGAGACCTTTTGGGATTGATCCTATCAACTGTTTGTTTACTCGTCGCTAAGAATCGATTAAGAAGTCCTCGTACTATATATATATCACTGTTTCCACATCTTATCATTATTAATATAAAGCGCGGTAACTATGGACGCTTTTGCTGCTAGTTATCTAAATTATTAGAAGATACAGGGTGAAGGATTCTAAAGCGCCGTTTCATTGATTCGTTTTGTGGTATTTCTAGTAAGAGTCGTGGGTCAAATAAATAAACAATTCGTGACAAAAGCATGGGAAATGGAAAGGAATGAGGTTAGGTAGGTAAACAATAAGGTTAAGGAAAACTGGGGAATGAGGAGAAATTTGGCCAGACAACACCAGACTTTTTTTTTGATCTGCTTGTAAATCAGCAGCCGGGGTTTAAAAAAAGGAAAAGAAAAGAAAAAGGGAGATAAAGCAAACAATTCTTCCCCACCAGCCAGTTTTTGCTTTTCTTTGGTCCCTTTTCTCAACCAAATGTCAAATTGATAAAACAACAACCTCCCATCAATTGATCAGAGTAACCCCTTTCGCCAGCAAAGGGAAGAGACGGGAGTATATAATTAACCACCAAGATAATACAGGAGAAAGAACATAAATCAGGCAATCATCAACTAATCCCTATTTCGCCCTGTCCACCGGTGCGAAAACTCCATAAAACAAAACAAAATGTCCCAATTCCGGCTTCGCATTCCTAACTCATGAAAAGAAATCCTATCCCTTCATAGTCGCCAAGAACGAATCCAGATTATATTCCTCTTCGTACTGCCTATCATCCCACAGTTCGCCAAGGTCATCAAGCCAGCCCTTCTTGCCCTTCTCCTTTACTTCCCCATCGATATCGACCATGTCAATCTCATTACCGCTGATTCCACGGTCCTGGTTGGGTTTTTCAGCGCCCTCAGCCGTTTCGCCAAGATTGAAAAGGTCGAGTAGTTGGTCAGTGTCCATCGTGCTGAGACCCGCATTTTGTTGGTTGACAACAGTTGAGGCGACGTCGATTTTGAATCGTTGGAGACTTGTAGACGGATTTGTTAGAATGCGTGGTATGTTACAGATAATTTCCTCGCTTCTTTCTTGAAGATACCAAAAAAAAAAAAAAAAAAAAAAAAAAAAAAAAAAAAGAAAAGAAAAGAAAATATACTTACTTCAATATCTTCTCCTCAAGGGTACCTCTCGTTATCAGCCGGTAGACATTAACGACCTTCTTCTGCCCAATACGATGTGCGCGATCCATTGCTTGGATGTCTTTCTGTGGATTCCAGTCATGCTCAACAAAGATTACGGTATCCGCACCGGTAAGGTTCAAACCGAGGCCACCAACACTGGTCGTGAGCAGGAGAACGTCGTAACTGGGGTCAGTATTAAACTGGTTCACAATGCTCTGGCGTTTGGTCGCCTCTACACTGCCGTCGAGACGGAGAAACTGCACTGATGGCAACAGCTTCTTAAGAACGTCGTTCTGCACGATATCCAACATTTCCTTCATCTGGCAGAAAATGAGGGCGCGGTGCGGGCTAACATAACTGGCTCCCGTGTCTAATTCACTTTCGGTGGATGGGTCAACTCCAATGC